GCTGTTAAATAATTTAATTTTTGAATATTTATAAAACTAGTTATTGACCTACGTTCATTGTTAGTTCAAATATTTGAATAACGTATGTGACATACGAAAAAAATATTCTTTAGCAATAGTTACAGGCAATCTATTTTTTTTTTGTTCTTTTTAGGCTTTTAAGACTTGTCAAAGCAAGTCCTATTTTGCCAAATAATTTATATTGTTACATAAATGAAATGTATAGTTTTTAAAAAATAGCTTTCGCTAGTCTCTTTGTATTAACAGATTTTTTTTTTTTCAAATATACTTTACTGTAACAAGACCTATTTGGACTTGAGTAGTTGAGCTTTGGAGCTTCACTAAGCTATAGGATTCTTCTGATATCTAATCCTTACAATACAAAATCCATTCGTGAAATCCTTAATGTTTATTACTTTGCCACAAATAAAATTATCCATGTTGATAGTAATATATATTGCCGATTTAGGCCAACCCAGATTTTTTTTCTGAGGCCAGGGAAGAGGGCGGGAGATTAATGCCAGAATTAAATAAATGCCACAGGCACCGGGATTCGAACTCGTAATACTCAGATTATCATGTTGCCAGGCAACACTGTCACCCCTTCTCTCCTAGCCCAATTAACTTCAGGCTCTTAAAGCCCCCTAGTCTCTAACCGTTCATCCTCGTCGGCTCCTGACAATCCACCTAAGCTTCTGAAAAGAAGGTGGTTTCTGGACATTCTAATATTGAACTATTATTATAGTTCCTCAATAAATCTTTTGATGACATCATACCAATCCATATTTATTTGTTTTATTTTAAGGTAATACAGTTGTAAATTTCAATTAATAAATTTATTGAAGAAAAAAAAAAACGTCGTATGTACTTAGCCATTTTTGAATCTTGTTATGTTTAATTTTTTTAATTTTAAATCTTTATTTACATTTGTCGAAGGAAATCGTGGCGATCAGCGAATTACATTATAACGAAGTAATAGCAAACAAACTACGGCTTGAGAAAGGTAGTAGCCAGCACAACCAAACTCTTCCAAACAATGATTAAGATCCATTTGGGCACTCGTCCAATTCCAATTTAGCCTCTTCTCCGTACTCTTCGGCATTTCCACCTAACTATTTCTTATCGTAACAGCAAGGTCTCTCATCCGACGCCTTTTCTGTTTCCTGTTTGCATTCATGGGAAATCACCTGAAGGCTAGATGGATATCTCTTATTACTATTTTAGTTCGTCAGTGGAAGTTAGTATGAAATCATTGGTAAAGAGTTCTTGTATGTTGTTCAATTGTTGGTAGGTGGAAATCATTATGTAGGGTTTTGTTACATACAGTGTTGCCCAAATGCGAATCTTGGTCTTGGTCATGCGCAAGAGTCTTGCAGTTACCCATTAGCTTATTACTATATAGATATTACTGTAATTTTTCAGATAGGGAAAACCTAACTAAGTTCAAAGGAAAAATTGGAAGAGTTAAATTCAAAAGTATTTTGTTTATAAAAATTCTTTGTACATAGTAATCAAAATTGTCATGTATTGATAACTATTTTGTCTTAATTTTTATTCACTAAAACATTTTTTTTTACCAGTCTTTGTCTTGGTCTTAGTCTTGCAACAGTTAGGCTGTCTTGGTCTTGGTCTTGCAAAGTCCAAACCGATTTTGGACATCACTAGTTACGTACCAAGGTGATATAGTTATGATTTGTAATATTTTAGGTAATTTTGAAGTTTTTGTAAGCGGATCTTTTTAGCTATACCGTATATCTGTGAGACGAGTGTCGATATAAATAAGTTTAATTAATTTTTTTTTTTTAACTTTTATTATGATATTTACAACTGTATTAGTATGAATACATCAAGTAAATGTGTACATAGGAATATTATCACATGAAACACGCTTGTTGAGAAACTACACATTGGTAGCACTCTAATAATTTGTCTACATGAGGAGATCACGAGGCCATCTCCTTTTCAGACGCCTCGGAGGGTTATAAGGAATCGAAGAGGAAGCAAGGTTAGAAACAAGAGGATTCGGATAGTTATGAAGTTTATTATGGAAGGATAGGTATCTGGATTTGGCCGAATCGGAAGCATATGGAACATTGAGGTCTTTATGGATTATTTTATTTGTGACAAAGTAAGGAGCATTGAGGATTTTACGAAGGATTTTGGATTGTAAAGATTGGATACGAGAGGAATTTGATGGTTTAGTGGAGCCCCACAGCTCAACTCCATAAGTCCAAATAGGTCTTATTATGGTCATGTATATGAGTCGTTTGTAATTCATTGAAAGTTTAGAGCGTTTGTCCAGTAAGTGTTGGAGTAAGCGGAAACGTCGAGCAGTTTCTTGTCGTTTCAGTCTTGTATGAGGATTCCAAGTGGGACCTTTGTCCAGCTGGAGTCCTAGGTATCGGATTTGTTCTATAGGGATAATTTAATTAAATAAGTATGTATTTAGTGTCTGTCTCAATTGTGATTTCAAACTTAAAATTACTCATAGGTCTTTATTATCTGCAGCCTTCAACACATTTTGAGTAGTTACTTTTTGTCTTCATGTCCGTACATTTCTGCTTGTTATGAATAGGAGGAATCTAGGTCAGATTTTATTTCGGATATATATTTTTCGTTTAATGTGTTAAATATTCCAAAAAATAATAGCGGCTGAGTTTTTTTTATCTACAGTAGTATAATTCCATTATGCCGTTGGCCATTTATCCTTATAGCTGTGTTGTTATTGCACTCGGGATAATGATTCCTCATTTATCCTCGATAACGGGTCTAGACTTGGGTAGCCCCGGTTCTTTTACAGTCGGCGTTGCATAATCCAGTTACTACATAATCTTGGGTCATCGAGGGTTCAGAACCAAGCCTTCAAGTCGAGATTACTTTCCAGCGATGGAAACTTAATCGTGACGACTCAATAACCTCAAGCGGTCACACCCAAAAGTCTTCTACGGAAGGAGCAAACTGATCTCAGAGGGTGTTTGCAAACAATATCTCGATAGTGTTTGGTTGGCATATAGTTCAGTTTTTGGTTTAGTGGGATAATAATTTAAATAGAGAAGTGTGTCGATGACTTTCTTATTGAAAATAGATTTTAATTCTATATTTTAGAGTGGTTTGAGCTCTACCAATGGGTAGTTTCTCTTCATGTTGTACATGTCATGCTATCAATTTCACATTTACTTATTGTATTTTATATGTAATACAGTTGTAAATTCCATTAAAATAATAAAAAAAAATAAAAAAATATTTTAGAGTGCTACAAGTGGGTAGTTTCTCAACAAGTGTTTTCATGTTTTTATTTTCTGTTATCGCATTTACTGAATGTATCTTTTCTTAATACACATGTGAGTATCATAAATAAATAATAAATAATAATAGTTCTATATTTGCTACTTTTTCAACAACCAAAGCATAATAAATTCTTATTAGACTTAGTTTGTAATATTTCTTTAATTAGCACGTTACCGTATACTGACGTTTATGTTCAGTATTAGTTGAACCGACTGTTTATTTAGTGTTATTTGATATGCGCTGTTTCTGTATTTCTGTTTGTATCTTACGTACTTTTATTTCAGTGATGATGTTTTCGCTTAAATTGACGAACGCTTATTAATCATTCACTAATTTGTTTAGATATTTAACGGTGTTTTGGGAAAGCTATGTTATAATTATGTAATTCTTTAATGTGTAACATGGTATATTCATAACAACAAGTATTTTGTAAAACATTTATAAATATGTACTGTTCTTACTTTACGTTTGCCATTTGAAAAAAAAATGGAAGTCTTATGATATTTTTTTTTTTATTCATCGTCCATGAAGATTTCTATCTTAATGAAGTTTATAATTTTTTTGTTATAAATTTTGTTTTTTATATTTATTAAATTTATTTTGAAGATTTCAATTTTGATATTAATATAAATTAGACCAATTATAACCAAACATTTTATTGATAGGTTATTTAATTCGACGTTTCGACCTTACTAAGGGTCATTTTTAAGTCCTTGATGAGTCCTCCGTTATATCTTCATCATTAATGTCGCAATTAATATGTTTAGTGAACATTAAATTGTCAAGGTCTATAGGGGTTTCACCTACGTTATTTCTGGAGGGACTGAATAAATATAAAACCTCAAGACACCAAAATTAGGATAAATGAACAGAAGGAATTTCAATTTTTTTTGTGTTGTTTATTTCTACTTGTTATACAATATACCATAACAATTATAAGAATACTTGAGCACCCTCAGTGCTCAAACCACGGCCATGAAGATGACAAACATGTTTGGCTTGAAACGTTGGCAAAAATAAAAATTTAAAAAAAGACTGCGTCCTGAATATTTATCACTCATAATTATAAGAATATTTTATTTTTTTTATTTTTGTAGTTGGTTTGAAAATTTCTTCTTTTGTTAATTAAACTCAGGAAAATTGATGATTTCATTTTCAATCGTGATTGATTTCTCAGATTCTTGGTTAATTCTACATTGAATAAAAAAATATATTTGCGGATTTAAAATATTTTCTTTTTATTATTTTGTGATACCTGAAGATACGCAAGGGCTAAAACCTGTAGCAACTTGTTTCATCTTGTCTTTATGCCTGTCATGCTTTTCTATTGTCAGTAAGGCGCCATCCTTTTGTATTGGCGTGTTCATAATTGGCACACACACTTACACTATATATATATATCATGTGATTAGATATGTGTTACAAATTTTAAAAATCAGTTAATTTTATTTTACGTGTCCGTTTATTTTTTTAATATCTGCTGGAAAAGTTGTAATCTGATTATGTGTTAATTCAATCAATTAATATTTAAACTATTTATTTAGATTTAATTTTCAGTATCATCTAGCTTTGAGTTACATCATTTTTTAAATTCAAAATTGGCTTACATTTGAAAACCAAAAAAGTTGCCAGTTTAATTAGTTTTATTTGTTCTATTACTAATAATAAAATTGAATTGTCATGATGAATTAATACATGTTTTATTTTTTCAGCAATCGCAATGCATTTTATCATTCTTGCTGCGTTCTTCTGGCTGAACACGATGTGCTTCAACATTTGGTGGACATTCAGGTAAGAAAATATTTTATATTTTTATTTCATAATTCACTTTTCTTTTCCAATGGTGAAGAAGCTTTATTTGTCTTAGTTTTATTATAGGATATTCTACACAACTAAATTCTACACTGTTAACATTAATTTATTCAAGTTCTTGGATCATGAATAATTGTAAACGAAATAAAAAAAATGAAAGGTATCTAACTTTTTTAGTTGTTTAGAACGTTATTAATGTTTTTAACAATCAAAAAAATATAGTTATCAATAATATATTTTCAAAATGCGTTGTTTGTTGTTGATGATATCTACTACGTCACGAGATTTATATATAGTAACAAGGAATATATTGTTGGCATTAGCAAACTTTTCAACTAAATTGTTCTGGCTAATTTAAGGACTTATATATATTTTAAACTATTTAGTAATTGAATATTACAACATCTGTCACTTTGGCTTTAGTTGTAGTGAGGCAGGATCACATTCATCCTATGTGTACAAAAAAAAATAAACAGAAAAAAAACGTATACCCAATAAATAAAATAAAATAACTTAAAAATAAGGAAATTGAAAAAAAGCAAAAAACACATACATACCTCTATATATAAGAAATAATGAAGTCAAAAACGGATAATAAGTAGGTACAGGAATAAAGAAGTAAATAAAATATAAAAAATAAATAAAATATCCGTTAAACAATTATAAACTTTTTAAAAATAATATATAATAGTATATATAAACACAACTTTTTATTATTAATGTTGCATATGATCATGTTCCGTTGAATGTCATAATAATATTTTTCAAATGTCAGGGCCTTTTTGACACGCTGAGATGTTACGGAACCTTCAGGAATAATATCAAGGCTCGTGAATAGTGTTAGAAGCAAATTATAAATATTATTATTATTATTTATTTATTAATGTCCGCTAAATAATTAATTAATATTATATTATTAATTAATTTTTTTTTTTTAAATATAACTAATATTTTTTTTCTCGCGTTCTTGAGATGTTATTCCAGGCAAGCAGAACTTTTAGTATAATATTGGTTTTATTACAAGCAATTTCATTTTACTTCATATTAGATGAACATTCCTTAACTTCATATTGAATTGTAACAAATTACGTTATATTACACACATTTTCTTTAATTTCGTGGAATGGGGCTATTATGAATTCAATTAATATATTTCCTGTATTATATGGTTTTCATAAATAACCATTTGTTCAGAACATGTAGTTTCTTCCAAAATCCAGGATATACCTTGAAATGATATTAGTAACCTCTTTTCAATGTCATACATTGAGCTTGAGATCAACTCCGTGGTTTCATAGACCACAACCTTCTGTGGGATAGAGTGCATGTGGATATACAAAGCATTTTTTTTTTCTGTCTCTTTTGTTTCCTTGGGATCTATTGATTTCCTTGGGTCTGAACCCAATCTCTTGGGATCACACGTCAAGACTTGAAACTATGGTATAAATCCGTCTTGTAAGAATATATCTGTCGTGCACATAATATTGTAAAGAATATTTCTAAAACTAGATGTTTAATTCATAATGGTTTATGCTTATTACATCATATGTTTTGTTTATTTTCTCCCTTATTGTCATTATTGAATAACTGTTAATGGACTAGTAAATGTAGGCCGAAAACTGAATCGTGATATGTAAATATAGGGATTAGTTCCTAATCAAATTTAGATCAAATCATAATTTCCATCCATAATTTTTTTAACATTCCCTTCTCTTAGAACTACAAAAAAAAAAATTGATTTGACAGTGACCCTGGAAAAATTTCACATTTTTACCTCAAATTAATTCATTTACAGCCCATTCATAATCTTTTATCGAGTGAATCTCCATATGATTCAAAACGGAAAGTAGTCGATTCAGGAAAAAATTTGCTGAAGAATTTTTCTCGGCGGCTCTATATGTTTTTGGGATGCTGGGAAAATTCAGGTTCCACCATAAAAATATTTTAAAAAAACATTAAAAGTTATTTCAGTTTTTTGCGTATAACTCTAAAACGACGCATTCTAGGGAAAAATTGCCGGTATCAAAAATAAAGCTTATAAAATATTCTGAAAAATAAAACTAGAACCAGCTCGACTGTATTTTTCGTTTCGCCGCTAGAGCACATTAAAGATTGACGACGTCATAGTCCCATCGAACAGTAGTTGGGTGGGGAAAAATTCAAATAGTCGGTTTCTCTTCGGTTTATGATGTTTATTGGGATGCTGAATCTGAATTTGATGTTTCCCAACGAAATTTTACAACAAATTATGAATTATTAGGATGTCGCCCTGTTTTTAGTTTAAATTTAATGAACTAAAAACTTTGTTGTACACTATGATCTATCCATCTGATTTGAGTTCCGAGAAATATCAGTCCACTTGACCAATTTAATTTGTTTTGGTTATTGACTAAAATTTTACCCTCAAAATTATTAGTCTAGGGAAACTTAAGCCCCACCTACGTAGAAACGAGAGTTTAATTTTATAGTAGTAAACCTGCGATTTGTGGCCTTGTTAATACAAATCTTGTTTCTCAAAGCACCGAGGAAACACTGCGAATATTTATGCCTATGTGTATATGAATAGAATTGTGTAAACATTCTCACACCTGACTTTCATTTAATAGTTACTACGTTAGTAATTTTATGTTTCATTCATTGCTTTTATAATTTTTTATTTTAGTTTATTATATTTGATATCTTTCCATACACCAGTAACTAAACTATGCATTCCATTATCTTCACTATATTCTCAAACATCTTATATACATAAATATTTTTTTTTGCATGTCATATCTTTTTCAGTGCGGGCAAAAAACAGAAAAAAGAGTTATGGAGAATACTCTTAATTATTGTACTCAACGAAGTATACACGATATGAAAGGTTTTAAATTCCCTTCCAAATGTACAAAAAGTCATCGAAATCAGACCATTATTGGTTAAGAACAGTATTGAAATGTGTACACGTGTTTTGGTTTGTTACGTACATTGAACCATTATGCTTGGATATATATAATAAATATTGAAATATATTGTTCACATATTTCTATATTAATTAGTTGTTATTTTACTTCTATTTATTTTATCTTTTGTGTATATATAATGTGAATGTGGTCTTACCTCCCTATACTTATTGTCCGAGTAACAGAGTATTATATTGCTCAATAAATTAATTTTAAAAAAATTCTACATCATATTACCATTAGTTAACAGTAATTATAACTAACTGGTTATACGCACCTTAACTCAATTTAAAATAAATTACTAGTTTTATGTATAAAATATGGATGTCAGGACCATTTAACTGTACCGTAACGTTATATATGGTAAATAATATTTTGATACTGATTGCAAGTTTCATGATGAAACTGTACATAAATAAATTGGAAATTTTGATTTCGTAAAAGGTAAATTATTTTCCTTAAAATATTACTTTCGGCCCATCATCATATCCAAATATTTTTAATTTAATTATTGCTGGTCATTAAAATAAAATAATGATTGAAGATAAACATATATATTAAACTATCAAATTAATTACCTTCTTTTAGTATTTAATAGAATAATTGTATTTAAAAATCTGATACAAGTTATTACTTAAGCGTAGATTAATTTCTTTTTAAATTAACATTTTAATAATTTATTTTTAAAAATACAATTGATGAGCTTACGATAATAAATAAATAAAACACAGAAATAACGTTAAAAACAATAAATTTCTCATCTCAATTTTACTGAATTTAATTCAGCATTAAATGATTCATGTACCCTTTTAACGTTGATTGACTATTTCACAATGTTGGCAGTTTCAGCCCAGATGTTTTATTTCCGTTAAACCGTTTGTCGATATTGATTTATTTATTTATCGGGATTATTTGTAAATAGAGCTTTTCCATTAGTTTAAATAAATGAATTATTAGTAGGGCTACTTAGAAAACATTTCCTAAACTTATCCATTGAATGGGTGCCAACATTGCTTGGAAACGCCTGAGTGAGTCAGAAAACCGAGTCCAGAACACGCTGCCTATTTGTTTATAAAATAAAACTCATTCCTACGCAAATGTACGCTCCTAGGAAGTTTATTTTCAACCATCTAATTGTGGACTTTATCTGGAGAAAACTTCTTTCTTTATCTGTTTTTACTTATTTTCCTGCTGTTCCACGAATTTAATGTATTTGGAATAAAAAAAAAGTTTAATCGATATTAGTTAGGAAGTTTCAGAATAAATATATATTAAATAAAATGGAGTCTTGTTTTATAGCGATGACAATAAAAGTTAATATTATAGTTTAGAAGTATTTTCTGTTAGAAATACATTTAAACTGTTAGTACATTTTAATGTTTTTCGTTGCAAAAAAATAATTTTTATTTTTAATCTATTAATTACGTATAGTTTGTGTTATTTTAGGAATACTGGAACTAATATTGTATTAACGATATAGCAGTGTATGTTATATTATTTTAGGACCCAATTCTCAAATTACGGGTTTTACATTTTTCTATTTTGAGTGAATGAGACTTCCTTATAAGAAATTATTTTAATAAATAATCAACAACAAAAACTTTATCAGCGAACAAAAACCTTTAAGAATATACGTTAAAATGAATTTTCTGAGGTTATGATGAAATTTAGTTGCTATTTTTAAGTATAAGTAAGTATTTTTTTATCACAATAGTTATAGTATTTTTTAAACGTTTTAACATTTATCGATTATGAAAGTGTGTCAAAATCATAGAAATAACTGGATCCAAAATCACGCAATTCTGCTACAATGACAAGTCGGATGATTTTTTATTTTAACTATAACAGTTAAACTCTGGCATGTACTATCGTGGTATTAATTAGTTTTAAGATCAGCCAGTCCATCTGCCTGTTTGTGAAGGAAATGAGTATAAGTTCTTTAACATTCAAAAATTAAAATTTAACTTCTTGATAATAAGTTCGAACATGGGAAAAAAAGTGCAGCCTATATTATTATTGACAAACTATGAAATTAAA